TAGCACTCTTCTTTCATAATGGAATAACTAAATTCTAGGTGCTCTAAACTGCTTTAAAATTACATAAACATTTATCACAATTGTAGAATAATTTTACTATCTATTCAGGGAAAGACAACATTGGTAAAGTAGGTTCTTTAATATGTCACTGGATACTAGCATTCTGCTCTCTTTATGTTCCTTCCAAACAATTTGTCATAATTACTTTTGAGAAGCGGGCTTCCATCCCATTATACTGTATTGCATAATGTCCTCAATCTACAAAAGCAAGTTGTGTACAAAAGCTTAGGGCCATTGTGTAAAGGAAAAGTGGTAGGGTGGATCCTTTCCAACCCTTTCCTTCTCTGCAGGGGTTTGCATTCCTAAGGATGCCCCCTACCCTGCTTGGGGATGTTACCTAAATCATGAAATGATATTACTCAAAGCAATAGAACTTCAAAAGCATTTCCTTCCCAGTGCCTACTATAAGATTCTTTTTGGCATAAACTGCCTGTTGTAATGGGTTAATGATCAGACTTCTGACGACTTTTCATACATAAGTCACAAGCTACAGGAGAGCAGTGAGTTTTCAAATGGCTTTGTTACGCTAAGACCTGCACGTGCAAGAACAGGCACCAGCAGCCTGCTGCTGCTCTCCTACTCGCTCCCCAGTCACACCTGCTTGGCCAATTGGCAGCGCTATCTGGATGCTGACTTATTTGACATCTTCTGGGTCAAGTTATCTGGTCACGGTAAACAATTTTCAACTGATAACTGCCATCTTCTCTCTCTTGCAGCATTTCTGGGGGGAAAGTTAAAGAATCAACAGCCAAATTGGAAATAGGAAAAAGGAACTGACTCATGGATCAGAGTCTCTTCTAAGTCAGTATAAATAGTTCCCTTCGGAGCAGTCATTTCATTTTATTCATCCTCAATCTGGAAGCTTTATTTTTCTCAATTAAAATTTGAGATTATAATCCAAAGAGAAGCTGGACTGAAGTTTCTAACAGTTTAGTAACAGTGCTCTAAATGCTCTTTATCTTATTTAATCTTCACAACCCCTTAAGAGACTACTAAAATAACAATGAAGGGATTCTCACATGGAGTAGAGCTATGCAAACTATTTGTTTTCACTTGATAAATTCCTAAGCCATTTGATTTTTTTTACATTAGTCATGTCATTTAGAATGAAAATTTTCATTTCCTACTGATTTAACTGCAAACTTGTCATCTTAGACTTCGAAGTATCTGAAAGATATGGTTGTGAGAGTCCAATTCAATTTTAATATACAACTTTTCTGAGTATATTATTATACTCTTTGTAAACTATCCCACTCTCTTAACCAATTTAACAGACAATACACTTGCTAGACTATTCTCCAGTATCACAGGATCAACACTCTTTCCCTCAGTGAAGTTGTATTCTCATCAAGGTTGTCAGTTGTGTTTGTTCGCAGAACAATGTAGGCCAGTTGTGATTACTATTGTACATATATAATTTAACTTAGTACTATGTAAATCAATGAAGTATAGATAGGAAAAATGCTAGCTAACACTAATTCAGTACTTACTACCTGCTAGGCATTGTTCTTAGTGCTTTATGTGAATTACCTAATAATCTTCACAAGAACCCTAGGAAATGATACTATCATTATACTTGTTTTACAGAGGAAGAAGCTGAGCAACTTGCCCAAGGTCAACATAACAAGTAGCAAAGTGATTTAACTCTAGAGATGAAGAATATCACTACTAATTCAACATTAGTCTCTATAGTAGTTGTTTTCTATGAAAAGCAAGTAAATACTTAGAAAAAATAAAGGTGAATCACACAGACACACATAGTCTGCTGTTAGGTGTGGGAGAGTCACTATAATGGCTGGGAGGAAATTTTATAAACACCTAGAAAGATTCTGTACTCACTGCAAGTGACTTTAATCACTTTCTGTTAAAGAACCATAAATGATATAGGTCAGGGATTGGTAAACTGTTTCTGTAAAGGGCCAAATAGCATAAACATTTTAGGCTTTGTGGGCCATGTGGTTTCTGCTGTAAGTACTCAATTCTGTTTTATAAGATGTGGCCATAGACAATATGTAAATAAATGAACATGGCTATTTCAGTAAAACTTTGAAACAGACAGCAGGCTGAGATAAAACTGGGATGTCATTTGATAATCCCTGAGACCCACACACCAAGAAAAGACTGAAGGCTCAGGTTAAAAGAATGGAAAAGAATTTTTGTATCTTAAGTTAGAAGTATAAAATATGTGAGTAACGAACACATATGTGAATCCCTGCTTTAAGTTTTTCGAGGGGAAGTTAACCATTGTCCTAACTTTGTAATATATGAGGGCAACTCCTGTCTTGTATGGAATTTGTGCCTCTTTTCTTGCCTTTATGTATTTGCCAAAGCAGCCATTTCAACCCGGAAAGCCCTTCTTCCTTACATCTATTTGAAATCCTACTTGTCTTCAAAGCCCATTAGCTAACTCTATCATCTCCTTCAGACTAGATATGATCTCTTCCTCCTTTGAAATCCTAAAATTAATTTCTTCTTACACTACTTACTTTGGTTTGTCCTCTTTATGGTTACTTGTGTATTCTAATTACCTTCTATTTGACTATAATCTCTTTGAAGGCATTTTCTTATCCTATATAACACTCAGCAAACTGACTTACATATAACACTCAGCAAACTGCAGGCTTTCCGATCAGAGCTCTTGAACTGTACTCTGGCTTGTTGTTGTTATTTTATTTTTTGAGATGGGGCACCACTATGTAATTCAGGCTGATCTTGACATTGTTATGTAGGCTAGGTTGGCCTACAGACAACACTCCTGCTTCCATCTACTAGGATTATAGGTATGCACCACAATGCCCAGATTTGTGTTTTGTTCCTTTTTTGGGGGAGAGTGTTTATTTTTTATTTGAGACAAAGTCTTACTATGTAGTTTAGGATGGCCTTCAACTCCCTACATAGCCCAGGCTGGCCTTGATTTCACCATTCGCCATCTTCCTGCCTCAGCCTTCTGAGTGCTAACATTATAAGTGTGCACCACCATGCCTGGCCCACTCCTGGCTTTGAACATTGGCATTCTTTTGCTTTTAGTGTATGAGTAAACAGAACACTATACTAATCTCCTCTATTTGAGTCATAACCGTGTACCATATTTATAATGTAACTTGATTTATAATTTTATCAATTTTAAAAAGCAGTTGAGACTAGTATGGGTGTACCTGTGTATAAAACTCATACTTGAGCTGAGTGTAGTGGTGCATGCCTATAATCTCAGCACTTGAGAGGTTAAGGCAGGAGGATTGCTGTGAGTTTGAGACCAGCCTGGCCTAAAAAGTGAGCTCAAGGCCATACTAAACTGCATAAGGAGACCTTCTAAAAAAATGACAAGCCTTCCCCACCAAAAAAAAAAAAAAAAAAAAAAAAAGAATGGAAGAGCTCAAATATTTCCTTGACATTTTAAAAAATCAACATGAAAATATTTCCATGCTGGAGTGAAGAAGGATTAGGGAGGCTATGTATCCAGTTCATTTTTCCCCCCACTGAGAGGTAATGAAGTTCACATTCTAACAGAGCTTCAACAACAAGTCATATTCTTGTGCATTATTGTTTTAACATTGTCAGTTTTTGCTGTTTTAACCATCTTTATCTGTAAAATAAACAAGAAGCAGACCAAGGGGCCTATCTTCAGTTAAACAGAGAAACAATTTAATTACAAAAATTACAGTTACATATAATATTTCTAGGTATTGTATTCCTCACTACCTCCTCCCCTAGAATTTTAGACAACAGTACAATCACCTTCAACTAACAAAAAGAAACTATGCTACCCAGATAGTTCACAGCCATTATAGCATTTTTATCTTTCTACAAGCTACCTATAAAAGACAAGAGCCATAGGAGGGTTCTCTGGGTCACACGGGGGGGGGGGGGACAGGCAAGTTAATTAAGGAATAAGGAAATAAGAGTAAATTCTATTATTCAATCTAATAAACAATTTATGAGAATCCATTGTGGGTCAGGAGGCTTACAATTTAGTAGAATACAAAGTATAATAAAAACCTCAACAGAGTAAATGACAAACGGTACAGAGTCCCCTAGGAGGAAGCTACCAGTCATTTCAGTATCATGCAGATAAATTAAAACATTCAGGTAAGAGACACCTGTAGTGCCAGCTTGACTGAGAGGGGAACCCGAGGGTGAAATTCCTCTAGTGAGATTGGTGCAAATGGACGCTACACTAGGACACTATCTGCTTGGCTAAGCTAGACATCAAACAAAATTGTGCCAAGAATGACACCAGGTTAATGAAAGAGATACTTATGTAAAATATAAAGACGGTGGAAATTGGAGGCAAAAAAGTCGATCACAATGGATATTGACTTAGGACCTAGGCGGGAAAACTCAGCAAAACCCAGGCCTGAGCTTGAGCTACACTGGGGCTTTTCCACCTCCAAAATGCTATCACCCCTCCACAAGACTTTACCTGCGTGAACTGCATGCAGTAAGGGATCTTTCCTTTGGAGCAATAACTACTCCAAAAAACAACAGTGTTCACAGCTAGTAAGGTTTTCGTTCACTCACCAATTAGGTAAATCATGTATCAAAGGACCAGGAATCTATCCCCAGCCTGTCCTTTATTCTGTCTAAGCACTTACATAGTGCTTAGTACCTTCTATTCCTTATCTGCAAATTCTGGGAGTATGGGGAGACTGAGATTGGATTCAATGATCTCTGAGGTTTAAAAGCTTCTCGACCAAACCGGCACCTGGAGACACCGGGCACACGGGCCACTGCACACACTGGAAAGCAGAGGCGTCCATCAACTTGCCTAAGGTCACCCAACTGTGTTGCTGCAGGGGCCAGGCCAAGGCTCACGTCTCCAGAATTCCAGTCCCGAGCTCCTTCTCCTTCCGCCCAGCAGAGACAGGCGGCGGAGGGTCCTCGTCCGGAGGGAAAAGGTCGGTCCCATTCCCGCGCGGTGAGAGGGGGCGGGGAGGCCTTACCTTCCCAAGTAGAGTTCAGCCACAGACTCCTCCCTCTCAGAACCCGAATTTGTCACCCTCTCCGGACTCCTCAGAAGCCCCCGTCACTTCTGTCCGGCTCGACGTGTCCACCACTGCTAGAGGCCGCGTGTTCCCGCCTCTTTCCCGCCCCCTCGACTCGCTGACCAATCCACGCACAGATCCTCGGAAATCCGCCCCCTCGTCGCGTTGGAGAGGCCTTACACCACAAGACGCTCGACCTCTCATTTGCCTTTGCTCCACCTTCTTTAGAGTCCGTCTCCTCTCCACTGAGCTAGGGTGAGAGAGTTTGCCCTGCCGGAAAGTAGCACGCCGCCGCGGCGTTTTACGACGTGTGCGGTGACAGGCACTGGGTACAGCCGGCCTCTTCTGCGCCTCGGGGAAAAGCCCGCTATGTTCGGTGCCGGGGACGAGGACGACACCGACTTCCTGTCGCCGAGCGGCGGGTGAGTAGCAGAGATGCGTGGTCCAGAGGGAATGGCTGAAACCGAAGGAAGATTGTATGGGTTAGATCTCTTCTCAGGCCTCACCTCAACTTCCGGGTCCAGGTCCTTGCCACATTCCAGTGCTTGGACTTCCCCATCTGGGCTGAGTTCGCAACTGTGCTGAGTCTGTGGATCTGGGTCCTGGGCCCAGCATCTCCCGTGACACTCAGTGTGACCCGAGGTTTCGCCCTTTGGTTTGTGAGTCACAATTTCTCCAGGAAAAGGGGGCAGATTGCTGATGAGACTGCCTGCTTCAGTATTTATGAGAGTCAGTATGAGGCTTTCTCTTCACTGTGTACAAAACGGTGACACTTTAGAACCAGCACCTGGTGATTCATTCAAAACCAGTATCAATTCAAAATCTAGCTCGGATGTCATATTTTGTGGTGCTTTCCCTTCTTCCACTGTCCCCAGCAGAATAAATTCCCCTCTCATGCTTATTCCCATGACTGCCTTTCCACACTGGACCTACTAGGTTATAAACCCTGACAAGAAGGAACTGCTTATGTTGTTGGTTTCTATTTAGCACCCAGCATAGTACCTGGCACATATGGATGCTCAGGAAGTACCTGTTGAATGAATGATAGCTTTGAAATTGTACTCTATGTCGTAAAGCTTAAAACCAATGTGAAAGACTGCATTCATTATCCTTTTGCCATAAACGTTATATATCTACATATATGCATTATATCTATTTATCTGTCCGTCTGTCTGTCTGTCTATATATGCGTGCCTGGGATAGAAGTCTTCAAAGATAGGCAAAGCTTTATTTCTTTCAATAATTAGCGTTTTCACTTATGTTGTGTCTGTGGATACCTTGACTTTAAACTTATTAGCTGCCAGGTTCTAGTCTTTGCAGAGCCTGTCTTTGAAAGTTTGAGCATTACAAATTTTGTGCATACTGAAGAATGCACTGAAAAATGGTAAATACATCATCATATGCTCCTCATTGTACATGTAAAGAGGTTACAAAGATATTTAAGCTGTGGTATCTTCCCTCAGATTGCTTCCAGACCTGTTGAAGACATCAACACATGAATGACTATAAAATGATTAACTTACTTTCTGTCATTTATTCTCCCTCTCTCTTTCCCTCCCTCCTACTTCCCTTCCTGTATTCCTTTTCTTCCCCTTCCCCCCTCTGTCTTTGGACAGGATCTTACTATATATCCTAGACTGACTACAACCTTTGATCTTACTGCCTCAACTTTCCAAATGCTAGGATTATAGGCATGCATCTCAATGCCTGGCTCTCTTTTAGTTAAATAGAATCTTTTGACACTCACCTACTAGCTCTGTATTATGTACTTTATATCTTCTTTTCATTGTCACTACATTGTTCATCCCTTATTCCCATGTTAAATGATCTGCATCCATTTAGTTCCACTTTGATTTTTTTTTAGTTGCTCAGTTATTTAGAGTTAAGCCATCCATCAGTTCCTTTCTTCCCTATTTCACTAAAAACATTCATTAAAATCTCTATACAGTCCAGCCTCCCTGCTGCTGTTGTCTATGTAGTCAGGCTTTTGAATTAATGTTTTTTCATACACACACTTGTTTTGTGTGTAGCTGTATGTTAGGCCTTTTGAAAATACCCAAGATGTACTTTAAATTCATATTTTTTACTATGTGAAAGTATTTGAGACAAGTCTGCAAAGGAATGTTAAACTCATGTATTAGGCAATCCACTGTGGACTGAAATTATAGCATAGGCAATACACAGTCGTATACCCTTTTCTAGATTCCAGATCCAAGATAACTTCTTGGTGAGTCAACTATTCTGTTATCCTGAGCAGGCATATCAGTATCTTGAGGCACTTTAAGTCTAGTCATGTGACTAAACATAGACAACAGCTAATTTGATGATAAAAGACTTAAGAAGGTTAAACTGATTAATTAATGTGTTCCCCAACAGTAACTAGGAAAACAATCCAACATAAGATTGAGAATAGAGAAAGTTTATCAGCATTCTTGGATTCTGCTATTTCTCTTTCGGTTTCTCCAAGGAAGTAGAATACATGTCCATGGACACTACAGCTGCTTTTCAGTTCCTCTTTTATAACTGTAATTTACTTTAAATATACTTATTTAAATTTTGTTTCTCCTAACTATAGGACTTACTTGACCCTTTTTAGTGTATTCAAGCCTAATAGAAGTGGGAGTATTAGTGCCTAAGTTGGTTGTCTAAAGTTTCTGGGTCTCTTAAAGTCCTGGTTAATTTATAATAGTAATTAGAAGGTATCCTTTTTGTTTTTGTTTTATCTCAGTTCTCTCCCTACCTTTGTAGGGGTAGGTATGATATGATATGAAGAAATATGTGAATGCCTACGTAGTGCATGATGTTTGGCTTCAGCTAATAATCAGGGTGTTTTTGCTTTTAGACACTGTGTTGTGTTTTTTAGTCACTGTGTTGTCCTAAACCCTGGGTTCAAGTGATTCTCTAGCCTCGGTCTCCTAAGTATTAGGACTATCAGTGGTACAACTACTACAAGTGTGAGCTATACTACCAGTGTGTACCACCACTACTAGTGTATTAGACTTTTTGAAAATTTCCTAGCATGTCACCATGCCCAGCATTTTACAGAACATTTTGAAGGGACAAGTTATGTATATATTTATTTATAAGACATATGTGTAGGGAAATCTGATTATCATAGTGATGATAAAGTATAAACTTGTAAAAAAGATAACCACAGAACTAACTGATCAGCAAAAGGCACTGTATATTCTATAAAAGATATGGAAGAGTCTGCATTCTTCTATTGATTCTTCTCCCTGTTAGGAGTGTGACTTTGGACAAGTCACTTCCCATTCCCATTCTTCTTTTTTTTTTTTTTGGTACTGGGAGTCAAACTCATGACCTCACACTTGCCAGACAGGAGCTGTACGGCTAAGCTATATCCCTAGCCCTCACTTCCCATTCTTATCCCTCCATAGCCTAATCTCTTAAATAATGATATTTGTCTTTGAGATCTTTTCCAGTTTGATAGTTTTGTGTTTATGTTAGTATCAGTTTATAATTCGTGCATTGATCAAGCATTCTCTCTCCTTTATAGGAGTATCTAAGTTGAGTAGGCATTTGGATGTGTTTTCAAAGCATATAAAATAGTATGTATTTATCAACAGGCACTGTACTGAGGGAAAAATATATGATCATATTTACTCCTTGCTTCTGTGTGAGGTAGTAGTTTTAATTGTTTTACTCACCTTACAAATAAGAACAGCTCAGAGAGGTAAGTTGCTCAAGACTGCACAGCTTTAAAGTAACTGAGAGAGCTTGGAGTTAAAGTCATCAAGAAGATTCCAACAAATCTGTCCATTTGACATTATTGTCATTATACAAGTAGATGCTGATGCCATGGTTCATAAAAGAAGTTCTTTACCAACAAAAATATGTAGTTATTAAAATACATCAATATAGCATAAATGCATGTTCTTGATGAGAAAAAAATATGAAAGTGAGGTAAGGTAAAGACCTTGGTAAATAAATTCATTAACTAACATTTATTTTTAAAATATGACTAATGCCATGATGACTTTACACATTAATTTTATTTATTTATTCTTTTTTTTTTTTTTTTGGTTTTTTTTGGAGATAGAGTCTTGCTGTGTGGTTCAGGGTGGCCTTGAACTCACAAACTCACTATGTAGCCCGGGCAGGCCTGGAACTGAACTCGATCCTCCTGCCTCAGTCTTCTGGGTGCTATGATTACAGGTGAGCATCACCACACCCAGCTTCCTATGAATTATTAACAGAAATGTTCAAATCTAGACTTAGCAAACTCCTTCTTGCCAACATAGGAAGATTACGTGCATTTGAGAGCACCTTAGAAATGGAAAAATTTAGTAATTCACAAAAACTTACACTACTACGAGTGTATAGCATTCATTTTTAAATCTGAACAAGAAATGGAATTAATCCAAAAGATAATTAGATTGACCTAGCTTTGAATTGATTTTACGATGATTACTTAAGTGGCTTTTAGGACATCTGTGGAAACAGTTTATCAGTGACACTTTAGACTTTACTTTGAAAAAGAACGTACTTTTTTTTTTTTTTTTGTCATTTTTCTTTTTATCGGTACCGGGGATCGAACTCACGATTGCCTGCTTGCAAGGCAGGCACTTATGCCGCTGAGCTAAATCTCCAGCCCCTAAAAGAACGTACTTTTTTTAAAAATTAAGTTTATTGATACAATTTAGATATACGTACTAATTATATTCATTATAGTGAAGTGTATCTGTATATGATATATCTGGATTCCTTTTTCCCCCAATCCTCTTCCTCTCTTCAACCTGTCTCCCCTTATTTACAAAGCTTTGTTTCCATTTTATCCTTCTTTTATCACTTTTTTCCTTTTGGCTTCCTTCTTTTCCCCCTCTGCCCTCCCTAGTTCCTCTTTCCTTTTGAACAATTCTTTCCTATTTCACAGTATCTATTGTACATTTTGGTCTTTATTTACTTTTTCAGTTTCTCACACCAGGGATACAATGCAATAGTTACATATGTGTTCAGTTTATTTCACTTAAGAGCATGCTCTCAAGATTCATCCATTTACCTAGAAATGTCTCGTTTACCCTTTTTGGCTGGGTAGTACTCTATTTTATATATATAAAAAGCACATACTTTTGTTGATTCCTTGGTTGATGGGCATTTGGGTTGTTTCCAAGATTTAGCTATTACAAACTGTGCTGCTGTAAACATGGGTACTCTTATATTG